ATGTATCGCTTCATATTATGAATGGCGAGGGTATCGAATAAATTTATTAAAGTATATCGATCGAATAAATGATTGGCCAAATAAATAGATGCAATCCCAACAAATTGAACATTTGTTTGGTACTCATTCTCATTTCATTTTTTTATCTTTCTTCATTTTAACCACACATTTTCCCAATAAAATAATATTACCCACAAATTTAAAACTTTTCCACCACACATTCTCCCATCAATCACAATTCCAAAATTATATTCTGCAAAAAATGGGTGTCAAACATCATTTGAATTTACTAGAGTAACATGAAGTTTTTGAATCTATACGACTCTTTATATAATGAATTTCGTGAAAACTAATATAAATAGATAAATTATCATGTAGTGGATATAATCACAAGTCTCTATTTTTTTTGTCTGACAACGCATGGAATTTGATATAAATATAATAAATTTGGTTATAGCCAATTCATTTGACATGAATATTAATGTTACCTTGAAAATTTTAATATGTTTGAAGCATATAATTTAAACAATACTATCACGAGGAGGAGCAAATACGCTTTGTACTCTTTTTTTTTTTACCAAGGTTTTGCTCCATTGCGTTTTCCTGGCAAGATGTTAAATGAGGCAATTTTCGTAGCGTACTCAAAAGAATAATATACTCTTTCCTTCAATAGGGTTTTTTTTTTCACGGGATTTTTCCTAATAAAGTTTTAACAAGTCATATTATTTGTGTAATGAATGTCCATATCCTAAAGACATTTATCCTCAAAATCATATTTTAATATGTATGAAACTCTTGAAAAGATTAGCAGGAGCTATTTTTTGAATCATCGATCATCAAGTTTTAATCCACTGGATTTTCTTAAAGACATTGATGTATAAGACATCAATATTGAAGATAGATATTAACATACAAGACATGTATAGCTTGATAATTGAAACTAGGGGAGTAATTGTATTATTTTTCCTTCAATCAAGTTTTGTCCCATTGAATTTTTTGACAAGATTTAAACGAGGCATGGTTTATTACTTCAAATTATTTGTATTCTTTTTATTTGTTGACATTTTTGTCCCATCAAATTTTTGCCAAACAATGTTTCAATGAAATAATTATTGTGTGAACAATCATCAAAGGGGAGTGTTGTAAGACTATTAAATAAATATTGATGAATATGTAGTATTATCATCATGCATAGATGAGTCTTATCAAGTTTAGAGAATCTTCATTCGAATTGTAAATCTCATTTTGAACCCTATAAATGCGGGTTTTGATTCTCAACAAAATATACACTTAAATTTTGACTCTCTACTTTTCTCTTTATTTATTCTCTATATTTCTCTTTTATTCTTTTAACTCTCTACTTCATTCCAATTGTAAGCTCCGCACGCAACGACGATGGTTTGCAAATGGTATTGGTAATGATGGTGATGGTGCCGATGCTGGCAGTAGTTGTGGTCGTTCAGGTGGTGATGATAGGGGTGATGGTAAGTTGGTACAACATTTGGTTGGTGTTAATGGTGAATTGGAGTTGGGCTGGGTTAGGTGGGCGTGGGGGTTTGGTCGGGCGGAGATTGATGAAGAGTGTTTGTGGTTAATTACTTGGGTGGTTGATGATCGTGACCAATAAATAATGTGATCGATAAATACTTAATTTGCAATCAATAAATAATATGTGATTTAAAAAATGTGATATTACGACTAAATTTGTAATCATGACTCGCAATATATTAAGTTGCGAACAATTAATTTGATAATTTATGACCAAATATTATGTAGTCTATTAATTTGATAATTTATGATCGATAAATAAATTAAAATTTATAAAATTTGTAATTTATGATTGTGACTAGTACGTAACTATGACCATAAATTATAATATTGTGACATTAATATATTTAGCCCTTGTTTCAGCCTCATTTTTTCAAGAATATATTTTTCGAAACTCATTTTTAACCATATATTCTACCATAAAGTATTTGTACACGTATTTCAAAAAATCTCCTTACTTTTTAACTAAGCATTCTCCAAAAAAATCAATATTTCATAATACATTTTACCCCAAAAATGATAATCAAACGAGACATTAATTAACAAAATATTTTTAACTATCTATTTAATTAATAAAGTTTTATTATGACCCGATTTTTGAAATTTTAAAATAAATTTCTTAAATTTGAAATTGTATCTCAAACACCTTATATATGTATTTTTCCCAAAAATATTACCAAAGGCCACGATGCTTGAAAGGTATTTTGGAGAAACGATCATAAAGCACATATATTATTTAAGGACCATGCTACATTACCAGAAG